CATGAGTTTTGTAATACCTCTTGCAATCATTCCACACCATTTCTATTGGATTGTAGTGGCAGAGATAGTGGTAGTCACAACACAGTATGTCCAGCAGCATTAATAATATTGTCCACACGGCACCTACAAATATTTTACTGGCATGAAAATATTCAACTTCACAAAAACTGTTCTGAATTTTCTCAAGTGTCATGCTTTTTCTTATTAGAAGGTTTTTAACTCAATATGAAATGTGTTAGAAGTCAGTATATCATTGTAGAACATTCATAAATACAAATTTAGAAAATCAGTAACATATTTATAACTAAATTTGCTGACCACTATCTGCGGTTTTAGATTATTTATTATAAGTGGGCAAAGCATTCAGAGAAAATGCATACCGTTTCTCTGGCTTGTTTAATAAAGCTAAAGCAAACAGTTCCTGTGAAGCGCATCAGCCCTAAATGGAATAGTGGTTTTCCAGGAAGTTTTTGTTGCAGCTTTGTCCACTTGTTTGTAGGTAATCTCTCCAACTGTAAGAATAGAAAATACAAAATTATTTCCTGAATTGCTTTTTTGGAAAATAAGTCCCATCATCTTTGTTGCTTTGCATTTTGTATTTACAAAAATGAGAATATTGCTATTATATTCTTTCTTACAGAATACAGCGCAATTGATATTCAACTATTACTTACCTGAGCACTGTGATAAGAAGCATTATCTAGCACAATAACAGACGGTTCATCAAGTTTTGGAAGTGAGTATTCTCCATTCTTTGTTCCATGGTACTCTTCACTACTATTTTGCCATGGAAACACTAGTTCTGCACACCCACAAACCCCTTCTTACCACCTCCATGTAAAAGTATATAACGTTGTTATTCACTCAGATTCTTTCTCACACAGGTGAAAATGCTATAGTCTTGCCACGTGTTGGAAGCATAACGTAAGAAAAAAAGTTGTACAAATATAAATATCAATTATGTGAAGAGTGCTTAATAAAGTACACACATTATAGATCTGCAGCTTACTTTAAAACTGTATTTTTGCTCAGATTCGAAGTTCTGCGGTGAGCATAAGAACAGATCCTGCTTTGTCTTCCTTGTTGCATTTCTTCTAATTTTCTCGAAACGGATATAATATCTTCTTGTCGCTGGCGTGACCAAGGAGGATGCACTTTGCGCCCACTCTAGCTTCTCATGATTCACAATCGTGTACAATTGTACACAAAAGCACGAAATATCACTAAAAGCTCTCAAACACAGGTCGCTAGTCGCGTCGCAACACAGCACAGATGCCGGAAACCATGCAACGTCACGAGTACGCGTCTCACATTCGAGACTCGCTTTTAAAACAATCATAATGCTTATCACATGAAAACTAAATTCAATATAATTTTTATAAAAAATATAATTTTTACATTAGAGCACAAAGCTCTGCACTTCCTAATCTCAATTATTTCCCATGGCGCACTATATTTTCGTCGGACGAGGACATCACAGCAGGGAGCGTCGTGTCTGTTTACAAGTTAGCCAACTGCAAACGAACGAATGGTGGAAAGAGAGTCTATTAAGTTCAAGGACACAACGACCATAGAATCGTCAGTTGTGTTGCCAGCACTAGCTGTCAAATCATCCCATCGATAAGAAAATTCTTCTATACCTTTGTAAGGGCAAAAAAGTAAAATTAAGTTCACAAATAATGTTTGATGATAATTAAGTTATCTTAAGTAATTAAACAGTATGATTGGTTCATAAAACCAACAGAAAATTAAATATCGCATTTGCCCAATTCTGAGACAATAAATCTGTTGTCATTGATCTACATGTGAATGGCATTTCATTGTTGCCAGGAAACTTATCTGCCATGCCACCTATGAAGCCAAACCTTCACTGAAGGTCCTTTGAAATAAATAGGACTTAGCACACCAAATTTAATCAAAAATTTGAGTCACTGAAGACGGTCCATCAAAGTTATACTACTTAACATCGAATGACACGCCATGCAATTTCTTGATGATTTGATTAAAGTCAATGGCTTACATCATTATTTTCTGTGGGCACAACAAAAGGCATTTACAACCCGGATGTGTAATTGTTATAAATATGCTGTAAAAATGTTAGAATTTTGGTGTTCTAAAAGAAAAACAAAGTAATATGGATTCTTAGTGGCTGCCCGATATATCCATGCCTCAAAACTTTGCTAATTATTGTACATGGCAACTTCTCATTAATTCCTTATTTACATTAATTTGAATAGCAATGTGTAGCTTTTCCTCTGCCCTTTTCTTGACTTGTGACTTGTACATGTATCCTAAATTCATCATATTAATAATTTTACCCTACAAAAATTTCTCATTGCAGATATGTTTGGAAACTTTTCTCCCCCCCCCCCCCTTAATATTATCTAGCACTAAAAGATCAAAACTCCTTGAACTCTCTCTTTGGAACCACAGAAAGAAATTAAATATACTGAATTTCAAAACACATCAAAATAAAAAATGTGTTAGATCACCAAGGAAGTAAATCATGGCTCCATGTAAATAAGATCGGAGTGATTCGTACGTATCTAGATTAAACAGGATGGTTAATTTCACCTGGAGAAATTCTTTACCAATGTCATCTAGATATTGCATTTATAATAAAATCTGTCCCGCATTTTGCTGAAAAATGCACCAGCAATGATCAACAACTTTTCACAGAACTCTGTTAATTTACAATAATTAGCATCTGTTGTACACCCTACAATCCAGTGTTCAACTCTTCAAGAGAAAGGACACTATATCCTGGTTAGGAAAAATAAAAAACATCAAACTGTAATTTCTAAGAATTGAGGTCAGAAAAATTTTAGCCATAAATCTGCATCATCCAGAGCCCTTGACTGGCAGTACAGTGACCTTTACAATGCTTCTTACATCGGTGCCCTGTAGAAAGCCTACCCTAAAGTGCTGCATGTTTAACAGTTAAAAATTAAATACTTTTGTTTTGAACTAACACACCAACTGTGAGAAAACAAGAAAAGGAGCATTTTGCTTGTCATGGATGGTTGGTAAGAATTTATTGAAAAGCTGTTAGTTTTTGCAGATGGACGCTTCGTGAAGATTAAAACTTTGGAGCTGACTTGTCTCCAGACTACAATTCAATTAGTTTTAGAAACTTTAACATTTTAATGTTTTCAAGTTATTAAATAATATAATTATTAAAAATGACTGACGATAAAGAGTAACAAGAAGAAAATAACAAAATATATTTTCTCTTTATTTCATAAATTTAAAAGATATTTTGTAAATAATTGAGAAAAATTCTGTTCCAACACATCCACATTATTCATCATACAACTCAAGCCTGCAAACTTATCTTTTGGTGAAGTAACTGAGCATAATGTTTGCACAGAATGTAATTTCTTGAATGAATTATTTGACTCATTTATTTAATCAAAAGATGGATAAAAGATTTATTAAACAATGTGAAATAAAATACAAAAAATAATAAAAATATAAAACCAAAATTTGAGGAAAACTGACACATTTTTGTAGTTTATACAAGGTTGCTTTGAATGACCTTCTTCTTTATACCATACACTTCTGATATTTGCATATTAAATTGTCTAGGCCAAGGATTACCAACATTTTTTTTCATCGACTCCTCTTAAGAGAATTGTTTGCTTTATCGACACTTAAGCCTTCTCTATAGTACACAGCATTCATAATCATGACCCAAAGAATTGCACAAAAATGCCTTAAAGATTACAATTTCATATACCAATATTCTCATAAATATTTTGATTTTCAAAAATAGAAGATGATTTCTAATCTTATTTCTAATGTAATGATTATAAAATGTGTTTTAACAACTGGCCTTAACATTTCTCCAGTGCATATTGTGAAGAGTATTTTCTTGTGTGATAGAATATCACTGTGAACGCATAGATATCATTTTTTGTGTTTTCTGAATACGCTAACTTCTATAGATAAATGAGAAAGATGAGGAGATCATTTATAATTTATTATTATAGATCTTTTTGCTTCAGAAATAATAATAAATAACATTACTATCAGAATGCAATTAATTTCATTAATTTTTTGGTATCAATGGGACCTTGATTATACTGATCAGGCACTGGTTCATATTCGGCTATTGACTCTAATTGACCCCCTTCAAAATTTTTATCGACATCCAGGTCAGTTTATACCGACCCCTTCAGGAGCCCCTGGCCTAGACAATAGAAGAATCTTAAAAATGACATGTACATATTTTGAATCAACAAATTAATATGTTGCATGAACAGAGAGGTGATAACCTCTATGTTCTTATTCAGAAAAATATTAAGAACTAGTGGTGCTTCAACAACACATGCATTCTGGCATTATTTGAAACTTTCTCAGATTCCAAAAATGCAGAGTTCAATGAAAATAAATTTTATGCCATTATTTGAGCCATTTTTATTAGCATACTTTGTTTTATTTGAAAAACAAATTTAAAGACAAAATCTCCCCAAAGAACAAAATATGTTTCAAATTCAAGGGGCCGCAACATCAGCCAAATTGATAAAAGAATATAAACTTAGGTTTATGGATGGACGGTTAAGGTGCTAGCATTGTTCACATATGGATGAACAGACATTTTGCCTTGAACCAATTTTTTGGTATCAAGGACCCACAAAATGTGGATTCTACTTCACAATGTGTTAGTGGAAAATAATACGTAAATACTATGTATAGGAATAAGACTGATCCACTTTCTTGGTATCAGGAATCCACTAAATGAATTTCTCTGTAAATAACTACAGGTTTTTGCTGCAGCATTACAATGCTTTCTCTATACTACATCAGAAGTACACAAGCAATTAAAAACTCCATACCAGTTTTTTGTACAATGTTTTGCTAACACCAAATTATTTCTTCTGTTGAACACTATTCCTCCAACACTAAAGCTTCCTAGGTTGTTTATTTAGACCTAATGGTCATGAGTTGAGATAAAAAAAATCACTTCATGCTGTCATGAAAATATGTTTCTTTTTGTTTATCAAAGTTGTACAACAGAGAAGGCATCTTCTGGCATCTTCCATGGTGGGTAAAGGATTTATTTTAGACAACTGATGAAAACCTCTAAAACAGTTTCCTTTGAAAGGAAAAACTATTGGTCCCATTCCATGTAAATCGAGCATTTACAATAAACCTATGTTAACATTGTTATTGGAAATCCTTCAAAGTCTTCTAGTATATGTTAAACCTTCACTGAGGAGAACTATCATGTGTTTTGTTCTCCCCAGTGAAGTTTAAACACATACTGGAAGAAGTAGACTTTGAAGGATTTCCAATAACAATGTTAAGATGTATATATCAAGGCACAAAGAGTGACCAGGCTAACACTTCTGAATGGAACTCTCTCCTTTCAATACAGACTAGTGCAGACTAGCTGATATGACTAGAACATTATAAAACATACATATTTGAGAATGTATATGCCTTCAATTTCTTGAACGTTTTATTCTGGTTTCACTTTTCTTCCTCACAATATAGCTTAAAGTCTTTCCCTTTTTAAAACATGTTGAAGATGATATTTCACTCTCGGTCTCTCTTTCACCACTCATCATCATCAGCCTCTGGAAATATTTCTGCAGGACTCTCTATAGTTGCAGCCATTTCTTTGAATCGCTTGTCTCTCTCTAAGGTAGACAAAGTTTGCTCCATCACTGATTCACTCTCACCTGTTTGTTCAACACTTTCATCATTCTTTGTACCTAAATGAAAACATCTGCATTAGCTACTATGAAGACAAACTTTAAAAACTATTGAAGCTACTAAATTAATACTTGAATTATATTTCTATCTTCTATTTTTAAGAGGACAATCAATCTATTCCATAAAATTTCAATATATTGAATTTATTTATTTACTTGGGTTTATGGGCTCTTCAACCTGCTTTGAGCTCACTTAGTCAATCACAAAGCTTACATGGTGTATAATAAAGCCACAGAGTATATGATAAAATGCTTATTTTGTATCTGAATTATTAATAATTTTGGAAAAGTGAGTTTACTTCATGTAAATGAAGTTTTGACTAAAAGAAATTAATTTTTCAAACAAATCAAGAAAATTCTAAAAAGGAAATGGGTATGCATGCTTTTAGGCCTAATGATTAGGATCAATAAGCACTACTGTGTCAATAGCATAAGAATAAAGCCTTCAAAATGCTTAGATCTGGAGGTTCAGAACAGAATGAAGTGTTCAATGGGTAGATGGAAGTTCCTCAGCTTGCAATTGCAGCAAATATTGGGAAACTGTTTGAGCAAAGAGAGATCTTTCAGCATATCATTTCCAAATTACATTTTTTGATACTATAATAAAATATAAATACTATATTGGCTTTCTGAATTCTATTTCAAAAAGAGCTTAGACCTACCTTCATTAAGTTCTGCCTTAACCTTGCGGGCCTTCAGTAAATTAGCAGACCGTCCCCTCATAGAGACAGACTTTCTATTTTCGGCAAATTGTGACCCTGCTGGAACAATAGTGTCATCTTCTGGTGCAGCTTCTACTCCTTCAGGAATTGTGGTTATGGCCATACTACTAATGGCGCTTATATTTATATTTACTAACTGTTGTTTGTTAGAACTTTCTGAATGATTAGTTCGCACTTTATCCACAGAATGGGTCCCTCTAGTTACTCTATCAATAGCAGCAGCAATGTGTTTTTTAAATCTTGTGGTATCTTTCATCAAACCAAGAGATAATGGTGTTGACCTTTGTTGTTCTTTCACATTTTTTGCTAAACATGTCCTTAACAAGTAAGAAATGGCAACATTTGTCACTTCTTCCCAACCCTGCAAAGAATGGCAAAATTTAGTTCCTATTATTACTTTTTTTTGGTAATCCAACATTTTTTCTCTGATTTTTATTACATTATTTAGAAATTTAAACTGGCAGGTTAAGTATTCAATGCTCCTTCATATCTTAAGTTCACCTCTTATTTTACAAAGAAATTAAAACTAGTTGTGTTTCAACAGCAGATACTTTTTCATATTTTTTGTAAAGGTTATATAATATTATAATTCTAGATGAACCTGCAAAAGTGGTTCCAACCTGTAAAAACATTTTGTCTGAGCTAGAATTTGAATCCAGGCACATAGGTTCCAGGGAAAAAAGATTTATACCCAAGACTAACTGGCTTCATCAAACAAAGCCTCTCATGCATCAAAACATTCAATTTTTGCAATTATCATAATTTAAGAGATTTTGAATGCAAATCAGACCTGTGTCCTATTGCTGTGGAAACATATCACTATTCTCTGGGAGAAGGAGAAGAAGAAGAAGAAGAAGAAGAAGAAGAAGAAGAAGAAGAAGAAGAAGAAAAAAAAAAAGAAGAAAAAGAAGAAGAAGAAAAAGAAGAAGAAGAAGAAGAAGAAGAAGAAGAAGAAGAAGAAGAAGAAGAAGATAAAACTTGGTGGCAGTTTTGTGAAAATGATTATGTATTTTTATAATTGTTTATAATTTTTACTGAAAACTGGAGAAAAACTACTAATATTTTCCAAGCATTTTACAACCATACTTAATGATTTAATTTTTAAGAAAAGACTTTGATAAAAAGATTTCTTAACTTCAATTTCAAAATTTTGAAAATGTCATTGAGGATTAATGTACAATACCTTAAAAATTATAATATTTACTTCAAAGTTAAGAGGCCATGACATTAGCCAGGTTGATTAGGGACTCACAGGTTTGGTGAAAATGCTGTGTATGGTTTAGTAGCTAATGTAACACTGCCTTCTGGGGAAAAATCACTTTTCCAATATCAAGGATCAACAAAAAATGGATTCGGACAACACTATGCATACAAGAAAGTAATTTGTTAGATTAATGAGCAAGAAAAATCAACTTTTTGAGTATCAAGGATTCATAACACGTATTTTTCAGTAAAAAAATCAGTTTTTCCGGTATCATTTTGTAACTTTTTCTCACTACTTATTTGTAATTGAGGAAGACCATAGATCTTAATAAATTCCAAGAATTTTAAAGACAAGAAACCTACGAAAATTTCATCTACTTTCTTCACTATCATGTAGTTCTTAAGGCACCAGTATATTATATTATTAAATAAGCATTAATCAAGTTCTTTTCAAAACTGATTTACATTAGTCAAATACCTGCTCCTCCGAATCATTAACTGGACAACTCAAAGCTGCCAGTAAATCATCAAAATGTGGGTGGGATGCTGCTGGGGACAATCTCATCAAAAGCAGCAATAACTCCAGAGCACAAGATAGCTGACAACGAGTTCTTGCCAAATCTTGTTGATTCTCTTCAAAAGCTTCTGATGATGCTCGAATCATTTGATAAGTATTCTTTAACAGGACATCCAAATTGGTTATAGGAGCGGGAGTTTTATCTTTGAATTTTACCAGAAGTCGTCGTTGTATAACTCTATATTGTGTAGCTCGCTGATTTAACTGATCCTAGAAAAAAATGTTGGTGTCACAAATCATACTTGAAACAATTCCCAAAAGAACGTGATCACACTTTTAAAGTACCTGCATAATAAATGAATCTCTTCTACATTGAAAATGACAATCGATAGCAACGAACAATTCTTGAAAGGGAATAGCTGAAGAGAATGAACAGGTGAAGTCTTTGCTCTTTGCAAAATGCTTTTGTAGCCTTTCAATCAACTGAGAAGTTAGGAGACACATTGCTGGAAACGAGTCACTCTGAAGTCTATAGCGTTGAGATGTTTTTGCTGCAAAAACTGACACAATACAACTCTCCCCACCACATCGTAGAAAACCAATGGAGTTGCTGGCACCAGACATCGTTCCTTCACCTATGAACTCTGAAATTAGATTTTATAGAATAATCAAATCAATTTTTAATATTTTATTTTTGAATGTTATTATTCACATTTATTTTACTTCTAAGACTTTTTAATATACTTTGAAAAATACTTCAGTGATTTTATAATAATACCGTCTTTTCTTTACAATTGCAACATGCTCACATTGAAACTATGGGTGATTTCTAATCAAAAAAGAATTATCAAAGCAATAGTGATTCAATACATTTCTGCTCAAATTAACTGATCAAATATTTAGAAGTTTCTAGAAAGAAGTTGATTTTAGTTTTTTATTTATTTAACTTTTCTTTCAAACATAATTTCCAACTAATAAGAATAAAATTTGAAGCTATAATTTTTGGACAGAAATTTATAAGTCTCTAACACTGTAATAAATGAGATTTTTGAATTATCATATAAAAGAAATATCAAATTTTAGTTAATCCCCCCCACCTCAGTATTATTGAAATAATTTTTTTTTTTTGAATTGTCAGCTTCAAAGTGAAAAAACGAATGGCGGTATTCATAAGGGAAATACTACTTTGAATGTGTCGAGTACTACCCCCACCAAAAAAGTTGGGAAAAATTTTATTAGGTTTTTTTGCTATTTATTTTAACTTTTTGTTTCTTTCAAACAATAATTTTCCAACTAATAAGAATACAAAATTTGAAGCTATACATTTTTGTTTGGGACCAGAAATTTATAACAAGTCTCTAAACACTGTAAAACAATGGATGTGAATCTTGGAGCTTGTTATTAATAGGATCAAAATACTAATAATATAAGGTGAAAGTGAGTAGAAAATGCACTCAATTTTAAGTGTTAGATCCCCCCCCGCTCAGCTATTCAGTTGAAATAGATTTTTTTTTTTTTTTGTGAAATTGCTGCAGCGTTCAAAGTGAATAAAAAACAGATATGGGGCGGCTATTTACCTAGATAGGGAAACGTGTACTACTTTTGGAAGTGTGGTCCGAGTACTGGTAAATGTAATGAGGAGATAACCGAGTAATGGTGAATATGTACTTTGGAAACATTTTGAGTAAACATTAACACGAGACGAAGGAGCGAACAAAGAAAGAAAAAATAGATTTCTGGACATAACTAGCCGAGATTGAAGAACAGTCAAACTTAAAGTTTAAAGAGCGTGTCGAATAGAGGATATTAGTTCTGTCATCTACTTCCGATGGGCGTTAGGCTGTCGTTTTTAACGTACATAAATGAAATGTTCACAGAATAAAATTAATTCTTTAAAACAAGCTTATTCTATTAACACATGAACTATATGAATTCCTGTATGATAGTCTTTTTAAAAATAGAAAGTCTATATGACGACAATCACTACATGGCTAAGGATAGATTTTTAAGTTAATCCCCCGCCCCATCAGTACTTATTGCAATAATTTTTTTTCTTTGAAATATGTTAGCTGGTTGCAAAGTGAAAAAAACGAATGGCGGTATTCCATAGGGAGATACTACTTTGGAATGTGTCGGAGTACTGGTAATGTAATTAGAGTATGGTAGATGATACTTTGAACATTTTGAGTAAAATGTACAAAAAAATAGATCTGACGATTAAGCGTTCAAATTAAATATTAAAAATTAGTTCTCATCACTTTTTAAGTACCAAATGGGAA